CATCTCTACAGCTGTTTGATTGACTGTCATGAAATTTGGCACTGTGGTTCCCAGAGAACGAATCCCATTGACTCAGCTGATCCCCTGATGACATTCCCATCAGCCTCAGCTGTACTTTGTGATTAGTGCTAATTAACAAATATCAGCATGCCAACACTAAAGGGCAAAGTAAGAACATGCTAAACATTGTGTCTGCTGAGTTTCAGCGTGTTAGCGTCGTCATTGTGAACATGCTGATGTAAAGCATTTAGCTCAATGCACTGCTGAGAGCCACTGGCATGACTGGAGACTCTGTAGTTTTTTTTTTTTTTAACCACAGGAGCTGTATTTAAACAGTGCAGGTCAATTTGATCCATTACATAATGGATGTGTTTTTTTCAATATAACAGCAGGGGTTCAAGAAAATGTTGCAAATAAAAAATAAGCAGAGATATGAGAATATGATTTATACTTCAGTTTTCAACACTGAATCGTACACATCCCACAATGCAGCTCCATAAGGTCTTTCCATGCTGCATACCCCACTCACGTCTATCTTATTAAATACATCAAGAACAGGTAAGAAAAACTGGGCAAGTAATGTAAGAATCAAAGGCCATATGTCAGTAAAATTAGCAGCCACGCAGCCAGGGGCAGATTTGGGAGCCCGAGGCAAACGAAGGCTCCATGGGGCCAACAGATAGTGACTTAGTATTCTCATCCATACCTTCTTGAGAATAAGTTATTATGGTATTAAGGAGGTTATTGCGATGGATGCAGTCATTTACTTTTGTTTCCCCTCTGCTTCCCAGATGTGAGATGCACACTGAACCAGCCAGCAGTGACAAATACTACGTTGAATCAGTCAGTCTGTGGATTTGAAGTTGAAAAGGGCAGCTGGGGGACTTGGGAGAGACATATTTAACTCTCATTATGTTTTGTTAAACCTGTTAACCTTTTTTTCCCCTTCCTGAAATTCATTGGCTTTGTGCACACTGTTGTGTCTGCACCAAATTTGTATACAACCTTGAAGTTTGCTGGCCAATTTGGCCTGGATGCTTCCATGTAAATAATTGTTATGACTGGTTTTATTCTGTTGAGTGCTTCTGATTGGCCTGTCAGGGTAAAAAATTAGCTGCTCCACACTTTTCAGTGCTGCAAGGGAGGTAGAAGCTAAAAAATGAGCTCTGGCCTTCAGTGTTCCACAGACATTTAGCATTAGAAATGACATTGCCTAACATGACATGGTCAGATTTGTTGTATTGGCATTAGTATTGCAGAAGCAAGTTGTATGAGGTTTATAATGTAATTATAACTCATGTTAACAGCTGGAGTATAATGAAAGGAAAATAAATAGTTAAAAATAAAGGACTGACAAAAATGAAATGAAATAGTATTTAACAAATATGAAAAAAAATATAAATATAATATTATAATATACTAATATTTATTTCTCTGTGTCACTTACACACGTGCGTCAGTAAATGTCATGGCAACAGAAGATGACCCGACTGAGGTCAGGTATAAAAGCTGCAGACCATTCTAAATCTTTCCCTTTTCACTTGGCCTTTGACACGAATTGACATCGTTGCAAAACCTAAACTGTGAAAAGATTGAACTTTCTTGGAGAACTGAGGCGCTCTAAAGCATCAACAGGACAAACAACAACTACTGGATCACTGAACTATTGTGGAAACCCGGAGAAGGTGAGTATGGCCCTCAGCCGACCGCTGCTCAACGAGGGACACCTGCAGATGGGGGTCGCCCCTGAGTTGGACAACAGCCGGGCAGGTGAGACAACTTTTACATTTAATGTAATTTTATTTTTTTTTAGCTATTACTGATTCTTTGATTCACTCCCTTAAAAGCTTTATCAGCACAGAAATCAGTGTAACAAGTTGAATTTAAAGGTGGACAGTTAACACCATCTTATTAAGCCTGTTGGAAAAACAGGGATTTGGTGAAAACAGACTTTTTTTTTTCTCCGTGTAAAACGAGTATTTAGAATGAATTTATTCAGAATGTCTCAAATATCCCGGGACAGGTTTGGAATATATGAACAATTATTGTAGTGAATTGAAAACACTGTTATTTTGGTTTGAGGACGTTAAATTGTTCAAGTTGTTGTGCATCAAAATTATCTAAAAAAGATGGCGACTGGGCCGAATTTTATAAAATGCTAAAAATATATTTTACTTGCGCGCCATGGAAACGATGGAACTGTCAGCATCGAATGCGTCAGCACGTACAGGTGTGATCAGAGCGCGTTCCTCTGTGTGGATGGGGCCTTGAGTTGGTTTGTTTTTATTGTTGAAGCTTGACTTATTGTATCCGGTGATGATGCTGAAACACCTCTTCCTCTGTGTATCACATTATATCACGTCAGATTATTTTCAGATATATTTCTCAGAATAGAGATCGATGTTGTTCGGGACGAATAAAGGAGATGAAGTGGTGTCTGACTGTTCAGGACCTTCAGCCCGAACTGTTGTGGTCAATAATCACACAGTTTGTAGTTGACATGTTGGTATTA